TTGATTTATTGTAGAGATGGGGTCTCGCTGCCCAGGCGGGTCTCGAACCCGTGGGCTCAGGCAATCCACTCACCACCTCAACCTCCCAAAGGCGCGGGATTACAGGCTGAGCCACCGAGCCCGGCTTTTTTTTTTAGATTAGAAAATATAGTTTATTTATAAGGTAAATTAGAAAGAGAGAGAAAAAGAGAAGATTCACCTCCCCCAGGTAGGGGGGTGTGTGAAATTCTTTTATTTATTTTTATTTTAATAAAATAAAATTTTATTGAGAGGGGACCCAAAAGGGTTGGCGGGGGGTGAAATTCTTAATTGAGGCCTGAAGAGAGACATGACCTACTACCCAGCAGATAATTACCATTTGCTGAGCACATCCTAGAGGCCTGGCCCTGTGCCTCGTTCCACACCAGTGATTCCCACAGTCCTTGACCTTGCCCTAGAGCCGTGACTCGTGACTCTCAAGCCTTCACTAGCAAAGAATCATCTAGAGTGTTCCTTACACTCTCATTACAGGTTTCAGCCCAGAGTTTCTGACTCAGTAGGTCCAGAATGGGACCTGAGAATCTGCAATTCTTTTTTTTCCTTTTTTTTTTTTTTTTTGAGTTGGAGTCTCACTCTATCGCCCAGGCTAGAGTGCAGTGGCATGCTGCTTAAGGCCACCGCAGCCTTGACCTGCTGGACTCAGGCGATCCTTCCACCTCAGCCTTCCAAGTAGCTGGAACTACAGATGTGCCCCACCATGCCCAGCTTTTTTTTTTAGTTGGAGTATCACTCTCTCACCCAGACTGGAGGGCAGTGGCATACTCCTAGCCACCGCAGCCTCAACTTACTGGGCTCAGGCAATCCTTCTGCCTCAACCTTCCAAGCATCTGGAACTACAGGCATGTGCCACTGTACCCGACTAATTTAAAAAAAATTTTTTTACTTTAGAGATGAGGTCTCGCAAAGTTGCCCAGGCTGGTCTCGAACCCCTGGGTTCAGGCAATCCTCTCACCTTGGCCTCCCAAAGTGCTGGGATTGTAGGCGTGAGCCATCGCACCCAGCAAGAATCTGCTTTTCTAACAAGTTCCCAGGGGATGCTGATGCTGCTGGTTCAGGCACCAAAGTTTGAGAAGCTTTGACCTAAAGTAAGAAACATTATTTTTTTTGATGAGACTAGATTGTCACTCTGCCCCCAGGCTGTAGTACAGTGTCATGATCACAGCTCTCCACAGCCTTGACCTCGTGGATACAAGTGATCCTTCTACCTTAGCCTCCCAAGTAGCTGAAACTACACGTACCCAGCACCTGCCCAGCTAATTTTTTAATTTTTTTCTGTAAAGATGGAGTGTCACTATGTTGCCTAGGCTGGTCTTGAACTCCTGGGCTCAAGCAATCCTCCTGTCCTGACTTCCTAAAATGCTGGAATTACACGCATGAGCCACCTTGCCTAGCCAAGAAACATATATGTTTTTAAATTTTATTTATTTTTTATTTTTGAGTTGGAGTTTTACTTTGTCACCCAGGCTGGAGTGCAGTGGCACACTCACGACCACCACAGCCTCGACCTGCTGGGCTCAAGCGATCCTTCCACTTCAGCCTTTCAAGTAGCTGGAACCACAGACGTGCCAAATACTCAGCTAATTTTTTGGTTTACTGTAGAGACGAGGTCTCGTCAAGTTGCCCAGGCTGGTCTCGAACCTTTGGGCTCAGACAATCTTCTCACTTCGGCCCCCCAAAGTGCTGGGATTGCAGGTGTGAGCCACTATGCCTGGCCAAGACACATTTTAACTAAAGACAAATTCATGCATATGACTACAAAAAGACACGGACCAGAAGATTCAGAGCAGCTTGAGTTGTAATTGTTCAAACTGCAAACAATCCAAAAATAACAGATTTTTTTAAAATTGTGGTGTATTCCTCCAGTGAAATAGTACACAACAATGCAAAAAAAGGAATACTGATATAGGCAATTGTATGGATGAATCCCACAGATGTTACATCAAGAGAAAGAAGCCCGGGCCAGGTGTGGTGGCTCATACCTGTCATCCCAGTACTTTGGGAGGTGGAGGTAAGAGGATTGCCTGATCCCAGGAGTTCGAGACTAGCCTGGACAGCTTGCCGAGACCTTGTCTCTACAATAAATCAAAAAATTAGCTGGGCATGGTGGCACATGCTTGTGGTTCCAGCTACTTGGAAGGCTGAGGCGGAAGGATCGCCTGAGCCCAGCAGGTTGAGGCTGTGGTGGCCGTGAGTGTGCCACTGCACTCCAGCCTGGGAGGCAGAGTGAGACTCCGACTCAAAAAAGAAAGAAAGAAAGAAGCCAGGCACAAAAGAGTACCTACTGTATACTTATATATGGTAGGCACAATAATCTTTAGTTATAGAAGGCAGCATTGGCAAGGCTTGGTGGCTCAGCCTTTCATCCCAGCACTTTGGGAGGTCGAGGCAAGTGGATCGCTCTAGCCTGGGCAATGGAGTAAGACTCCAACTCAAAAACAAAACAAAACAAAACAAAAAGAAGGCAGCATGGTGGTGCGGGAGAGGAAGGGAAATTGCTAGAGAGCTAGAAATATTCCATATCTTTTTTTTTTTTTTCCAACTTGGAGTCTCACTCTGTCGCCCAGACTGGAGTGCAGTGGCTGCTCCCAGCCACCGCAGCTTCAACCCGCTGGCCTCTGGCGATCCTTCTGCCTCAGCCTTACAAGTAGCCAGAACTGCCTGAGCCCGCGGGTTCGAGACCCGCCTGGGCAGTGAGACTTCATCTCTACAATAAATCAAAAAAATCAGCCGGGCATGGTAGCGCATGCCTGTAATTCCGGCTACTCGGAAAGCTGAGGCGGAAGGATTTTCAGAGCCCAGCAGGTCGAGGCTGCGGTGGCCGGGAGCAGCCACTGCACTCCAGTCTGTGCTACAGAGTGAGACTCCAACTCAAAAAAAAAAAAAAAACCAAGTAGCCAGAACTACAAGTGCACGCTACCACACCTGGCTAAATTTTTTAAATTTATTGTGAGACAAGGTCTCACCAAGTTGCCCAGTGGGTCTCGAACCTGCGGGCTTAGGCAATCCACTCACCTTGGCCTCCCAAAGTGATGAGATTACATGCTGAGACACTGAGCCGCCCGAAATGCTCCATATCTTAATCAGGGTGTGGTTATTACTTATGTTAAAAGGCATGTGTTCCAAACCCAAGATTAGTATATTTTACTGTATGTTTTACCTCGGTTTTATAGATTACTTTTTTTTTGAGTCAGGGTCTCACTCTGTTGCCTAGGCTTATGTGCAGTGGCACATTCACAGCTCACCACAGCTTCGACCTCCTGGGCTCAGGAGATCCTTCTGCCTCAGCCTCCCCAGTAGCTGGTACTATAAGCGCATGCCACCACACCCAGCTAATTTTTTTGTATAGATGAGGTCTCACTGTGTTGCCGTGGCTGGTCTCAAACTCCTAGGCCCAAGAATGCCTCCTGCCTTGGCCTCCCAAAGTGTTGGGATTACAGGTGTGAGCCACCATGCCTAATCTATTTCACTGATTTCTAAGTCATAGTGATAATTATTTTTGTAGATAAGGTTCTACTTTTGTATCCATCACGTGACATGGTTGTGATGATTAGTAGCCTTTTTTTTTTTGAGTTGGAGTCTCACTCTGTCGCCCAGACTGGAGTGCAGTGGCCGCTCCGGGCCCCCGCAGCCTCGACCTGCTGGGATCCGGTGATCCTTCCGCCTCAGCCTTCCAAGTAGCTGGAATTACAGGCATGCGCTACCACACCCGGTTGATTTTTTGATTTATTGTAGAGATGAGGTCTCGCTGCCCAGGTGGGTCTCGAACCCGTGGGCTCAGGCAATTCACTCACCTCAGCCTCCCAAAGGCGTGGGATTACAGGCTGAGCCACCGAGCCCGGCAGTAGCCTGGCTTTTCAGATTTTGAGAAAAGTTACATGACTTGCCAAAGATGGTGCTGCTACATCATTCTGTGCTATTTTCCTTGCAATCTCCAGGCACAAGAATGTGGAGGAAGTCTTATTATGAGCCAGAAATCCTGCGGTCTTTGCAGGGACTGGGTGGTTTCCTATATGAGGCAAAGTACCCGAGTTTCATCAGTGCCAGATGAGATAGCACATTTTCTTCCCAAACTGCAGTCTTAAGAATGGGGCCAGGCATGGTGGCTCATGCCTATAATCCCAGCACTTTGGGAAGCTGAGGTGAGAGGACTGTCCGAGCCCACGGGTTCAAGACCAGCCTGGGCAACTTGGTGAGACCTCATTTCCACAATAAATCAAAAAATTATCTGGGCATGGTGGCGCGTACCTATAGTTTCAGCTACTTGGAAGGCTGAGGCGGAAGGATCACCTGAGCCCAGCAGGTCGAGGCTGTGGTGGCCAGGAGCAAGCGTGCCACTGCCCTCCAGCCTGGATGACAGAGTGAGACTCCTAGTCCAAAAAAAAAAGGGTTAGCAGGTCGGGTACGGTGGCTCACACCTCTAATCCCAGCACTTGGGGAGGCAGAGATGAGAGGATTGTCTGAGCCCAGGGTTTTGAGACCAGCCTGGGCAATTTGATGAGACCTCTTCTCCACAATAAATTGAAAAATTAGCAGGGTGTGGTAGCACACGCCTGTGGTTCCAGCTACTTGGAAGGCTGAGGCAGAAGGATCATTGGAGCCCAGCAGGTCGAGGCTGAGGTAGCCATGAGCGAACCACTGCACTCCAGCCTGGGCAACAGAGTGAGACTCTGACT